CGCCGATCTGGGCCTAGAAGAGCATCCAAGATACGCGCACGACAGACAGCAACCGATGTTTCACACGGAACAGATTGAAAAAGATTTCAAGGGTCGACAACGTGCAAAAGGAATGGATGAATCCAGCAGATTTCAACGATCGACTCCTCCACCCCCATCACCAGCCCGCGCCCGCCCCCTCCCGCACCCGCTTTTTCCATCACATCACCCCTGAAGACAACCTCCATCCCTTCCTCGGACGACTTCACCACACCTGACCCCGACGCATCTTCCGATTCACTCGACTCTTCATCCCTCACTCCCGAGGAACTCAATGTCCTCCAATTCATGAGAATGGTGAGCAGAGATCGCAACTCCCGTCCACCCTCATCTACCCCACCCTCCCGCCTCAAGAAACTCATCCCCGAGGAGCGCACCTACCTCCAAGCAAACGGGGGCTGCTTCCGTTGTCGCCAATTGGGGCACCAACAAACCAACTGCCCCAATGCCGCACAATTCACCCGCCAGTCCGCCTCCACTCGACCCGCAACCTCCACATCACCGCCCTCGGCAAGCGCTGGTCCCTCCTCATCATGAACACAGTCCCCAGGACATTGTCCTGACATCGATATCGCGTCTGTCGACCCACCCATCAACGACGTCCTCCGTCCCACTGATGGCTCATCTGGCATCGACAATTCGTCTGCCTCCCCCCTCTTCGATGACGCTCCCTCCACCGGACGACTTCCAGGCGTCGCAAACGCCTCCCACTGCCTCATGCTCCTCTACCCTTCTTCCAAACCCATCCACTGTCATCTTCTTCGATGTTGTTGAGGAACAAGCTCGACACAATCGGCTTGTCCGCTTAGGCAACGAACAACGTCGCCTCAACACCATCATCTCCACTGCCAACTCATCTCGTTTCCACCTCAAATTCATCGCTGCCACCCTTGGTGCRTCTACAACTAAGTTCCGGGCCCTCCTCGACATTGGAACCACCGTTAACTTCATCACCGACGAGTGTGTCCGCAAAGCCGATCTTACCTCTACCGGTTATGACTTCCCGATCACGATTCACCCAGGGGACAAAGACACCGCCGTCGTAGTAGACCGCACGGTTCCCGAGACCACCATGACCGTCGGAACCCTCCGCAGTCAGGTCTCGTTTGATGTCATGCACTTGATGTGCGACATCGTCTTAGGAACCCCGTGGCTGGACCGCTACATGCCATACGCATTCCACCCCAACGTCCTTCGCCTCACCAACCCCCCCGACACAACCATTGACATCCCCTATCTCCCATATCCGACCTCCCAAGGCTCTGTCACCCCGCACCAATTCCTCCACATGGCTCGCCTAAGCCCCGACTCCGCTTACTACTGTCTTGTTCTTAATCGCGAAAGTCGCGAGGACTTACTCCCGACGGACAAACCCAATCAAGCCCCCCCCTCCAACCCCGCTATCACCTCAATCCTCGACGAGTTCAAGGACGTCTTTCCTGAGTCCTTACCCGTCGGACTACCTCCGGATCGTGGCGTATCCCATACCATCGATTTGGAACCCGGACATTCTCCACCTTGCCCCCCTCCATACCAACTCTGTGTCCCCGAAGCTGAAGAAATGAAGCGGCAACTCGGTGAACTTCTTGAAAAAGGGCTCATTAAGCCAAGTTCATCCCCCTTCGGAACCAGCTGCCTTTTTGTCAAGAAAGGTGGAGCTTCTGAACTCCGCATGTGCACAGACTACCGCGCCTTGAACCGGATCACGATCAAGAACAAGTACCCCCTACCTCGGATTTYCGAGCTCCTTGATCGTCTCCATGGAGCCAAGTATTTTACCAAGATCGACCTTCGCAGTGGCTTCCACCAGATCCGTATCCGCGAGGAGGACACCCACAAGACCGCCTTCCGCTCACGGTTCGGGCACTATGAGTTCCTCATGATGCCATTCAGACTCACCAATGCCCCCGCTACCTTCCAATCTACCATGAACCACATCTTCCGCAACCTCCTCGAAGTCTGTGTCGTCATCTGCCTTGATGACATCCTTGTCCTCAGCCCCACCTTCGAGTCTCACCTTCAACACCTTCGCCAAGTCCTCTCGATCCTCCGAGAGCAAAAATTTTACGCCAAGCTCAGCAAATGTACGTTTGCTCCTTCGAGCGTCGAATACCTCGGCCACATTGTCTCCGTTGAAGGCATCCGTATGGACCCCTCGAAGGTCAAAGCCCTCGTCGAGTACCCCCCACCCAAGACCCTCCTCCAACTCCGTTCCTTCCTCGGCAATGCCAACTATTACCACCCGTTCATTCGCAACTTTTCCGAGATCTCTTACCCTCTCCATGAACTCACCCGCAAGGACGAGCCCTTCCATTGGAACGATCGCCGCCAACATGCTTTCGACTTACTCAAGCAAACCATCACCACGGCCCCTGTCCTCGAGATCGCCGACCCCACTCGCCATTTCTATGTCACCACTGACGCCTCCAACTTCGCCATTGGAGTTGTACATAACATTTCCCCCGCGACACCGTAGAGACCCCCTCCATCAAGGACTCGCCCACTCACCCCGAGGCTCCACCTCGCGAATACCCCATCGCCTTCGCAAGCAAGAAGCTCCTTCCCGCGGAGATGAATTACCCCTCCAACGAGAAGGAACTCCTCGCCGTGATTCACACCCTCACAGTCTGGCGCCCRTACCTCGACGGGCAATACTTCACCATCCGCACTGACAACACCATCGTCTCCTCCATCCTCTCCAAGAAAGATATCACTCCACGCCAAGCCCGCTGGCTAGACTTCCTTGCCCAGTTCACATTCACCATTTGCCATACCCCCGACAAAAGCAACCGCGTTGC